ATAAAAATAAACATTTCAGCTTTGTTATAACTTTGGGCTGGTTCTGGGCTGTGTTAACTAACTGTCAGCTTTATACGTTATAACAAACAACGTTATAACTGGTTTAGCCCCGGCTGTGACCCCGTGGACCACCACCCTGGACGGAGTTGGCGGGAACAACCCGGGAATCAGACTGGTCAGTTACAACAAGAACACCGGAGATCTAACGGTCAGTGTCGTGAGCTGGACAACTCATTCGTTCGGTACTTCTTTGATGCCAAATTCAAGAGATTTTACACCTTGCATATCAGAGCTTTAATGCACGATTTGTTGCATCTTTACTTCAGGAATGCTGAGTTTCCGTTTGTTTATGAAGCTTTTGCCACGTTGTTCTTGGTTTCTTGGTTTCTAATTGCTCTATTCAAAACCACTTTCAAATTTGGTTCAGAGAAGTTATCATGGAAGCATGTTGTGTCACATCAATTGCAAACATCTGCAGCTCTGACATTTTTATAGTAAAAGGGTCACGATTTGGTACTTTGTTTCAGCATGTCATTGACAGACAAATTCTTTGCGACTGGTCACGAATAACACACTTCCCCCCTCCCCCACTCTAGGATGTAAACCAGTACTACTCCAACTTGGCTCTGGCGAACATACAGGGTTCTCCACTGTGGGGACGCGAGTACAGCCTCAGGGGAACCTTCAACCTGTCCGACGCCTCGCCGGCATCACTTCAGAACTCCTGGACAGCTTCAGCGACCGTTCATCCGACAACTTCGAGAAGTACTACCTGTACAACTCCGTTAGCCTCGACCGGTCTACGTGTGACGAGGACTGCAAAGTGGCACAACTGTGTGCCATCAAGGAAGTTGACTATGACAAGTATGCAGACTGTACGAACGCACCCGGGAGTGGTGCAGATACTGTCTCTACGCTAACCAGCTTTGGAATGTTCCTTCTTTTTGTCATGGCAGCTTTTGGTCTTTCTGCCTGACAGCAACATTACCGTTCAGGCATGCTGTAATGATGTGCAAAGAATTATCAAATGTGCTCCAGGAAAGCAACTAAGGAAGGTTGCTGTTAGATGCTTATGCTTCATGGTTTTTAATTTTTTAATCTTACAAAAGCTTGAAATAAATTCACTGATATCAAAAGTGAAAGAAATGGAATGTATTTAGCTTGAAATAACTTTGGGCTAGGATTGGTATGTTTAAAGCTTTTGCTACTGTGAAAGATCTTGGTGAAAACAATGCGTACAGTGAAGTTTTTGTTGTTGTTGCAAATGCTGGAGTTAGACCAAGACACAAAAGAAATAAGGATTACTTTCAGTATGATAATCATGAATAAATGTTACTCTTGACTAGATTTCAAAATGTCTTCTTCGTAGTTTCTCCCTGGAAATAAAGTTATGACCAACATGTTTCCATTTAGAAACGATACTAACAGCAAATGACGGTAAGCGTTTTTGACAACTACACCATCTGAAAGCATGTCATTTACCTTAAAAACAGTCTATCTTCGAATCAATGCGTACTTAAGATTCAACACCATTATGTGCAAATACGGTCTTCAGAGGCATTTCTTACGACGACACGGCGTCTTGGATACTCGGGTACACGTCGTCAGTTTGGTCTTGGTGGTTGTCTGTGCCTCCCAGATCAGTCGTGGTGAGTAGATGCCCGGTAGAGCCACTTTCCTCTGGTCCATCTCTCTTCCCTTGGTCCTCTTCAACAACTGTCACGATCTTAGGGTGTTGTTCCATGTCACTCTCGGTGATTGGTGCGTGATCACCACTACTGACAGTGATGTTACCATGGTCTGCTGTGCCCGTGGAAACCGCGAGGGGCACAGTTTCACCACTCTCGAGGAAGTGGAGGTTAGGTGCTTGTTCTTTCACCTGTTCCTTCGTCTTCGCACAGGGGCCGATCATGTACACGTTATCGCCAACCTGTGACGGATGGAACATTGATGTTTGGTCATTTATCGGTGGGAGAGCATGTATACGTCTGTAACGTCAACAGGAATTTGGCAAAGAAGACCAGGTCACCCATATTCTTATCAATTATAAAGGTGTTGGGATCCTTAAGGTAGCAGAACACAGTATTAATGGGCGACCCCCGGGACGATGACGCGGGTATAGAAAGTAGTGCAGCGAATATTCTTGAAGGCTGGGTAGAAAGCCTGATAAGAGCGTCAGCCAGATGTAAATTGTGCTGTGTGGTGTAGGAATGTATCGGGTTTGAGACTGTGTGATTTGAATTGTGAAGGTTTTGCAGTTCGTGTATAAATGCGCAAAAAAAAAAAAAAAAAAAAAAAAAAAAA